TTTAAATATTAATTACTAAAATATGAAGTAATAATAATATTGACTTATTTTTCATTTGTAATAATTTCCTATTGTTAAGGATTTAACCCTTTTAGGTTTTCAATTATGATATTCTATCACATCTGGGTCACATTTCACACAAAATCAAAAGGAAAAAAAAATTGGAAATTATATTTTGCATATATAAAGTAAAACCATTATTTTATGACAGTTAAGGTCATAAAATAAGTTTCAAATGATGATTACTATAATGTGAAATAATAATAATTATTATTATAAAATATGAAATAATACATGATATTATGAAATAATACAATACAAACAAATTGAAATGTTAGGATTCATTTTATGCTAAATCAATTTAAATAATTTATTATTTTAATTTTAGAGTGAAATATGACCCAGACATATTTCAAGAGATTCATCCATTATGCAAAAGACAATTCAATGTTTGTTTTTTTTAAGTTGGATTTTGAAGGTGACCACAACTTGTAATTTGGAAAGAAAATCTCTTTTATATCTTGACAAAATGTAATACAAAACATTTTGTATAAAAAAGCGATTTTGAAAGCGATTGTTCATTTGACCATTACATGTGTGCATATACAGTAAACATCAGTATGGCCTCTGATATAACGTTATTGTGTTGAATAACGAACAGCGAACGCTACTGTGTTGAAAAACATTGTGTGAGTGTTGATAATCACATCCGGTGTGATGTACAGTATCATAATGCAGAAACAGTTTCTAAATGACAAAAAGTTAAAGTTTCTTGACACTGGGTGGACAGTCTGTCATTCATAAAATATCCCACTGACCAAATGATACTTTGTAAGCATGGATGATTATTGTAGTTCCGTGCCGTTTTGATGCCATGCATGATGTTTTTATACTGCTAAAGGCTATTTCAGTGGAAACAGTGCTTACACCATATCACACGGAGTCTGTAAACACTATGTTGCCTATTCAATTTGTGGCATATCTCAGGTTGGAGGCCAAATATGTGTGTCCAAGTTAAATAAAACTCAATAAAATTGCCTAGGCTATGTGTTTGAATTTGAATCAGGATTACATTAAGGTCAGATTGATATCAAGATTATCCTATTTACTTGCTTTATACACACTGCTGGTCTTAGTGAATTATATGCATCAGTGCACATGATCTTTTATCAAAGATGTAATTGCTTGCTCTGCTTCACTCTAAAATCAGTTTCCTTTTCAGATAATGTCTGAGGCTGTGTGGACTATTAAAAATGTTAACCAATTTGCAATTAACTATTTAGGCATTGCTTTAGCTCGCATTCAGGTCTTGTTCCAGGTACACTTGCATTCAAAAGTTTGGGCTTGGTAGGATTTTGTTAATGTTTTCGAAAGAACTCTCTTCTGCTCTCCAAGGCTGCATTTATTTGATCAAAAATACAG